TGGAGCATGGGCATAGAGCTTTTGAAGGGATTTCCTAGGAGAATCCAGTATATCAAATATTAAATATTCAAAATTTTAATTTCACATTCTTCACACCGAAGTGACCTTTAAATAATTATTTCTGATTTACTGTATTTCCTATAGATTTTATCTCTATTCAATTCTCAGTACCGCCATATTTAAAGAATGTATATTTTATCAATGATAATCACTAATGTGAACTGAAGTCAAGGTTGGACGATATGTTCTAAATTCAAAATTATTGAACAGGTACTTACATCGTCAAAAATTGATCAATTTTCCACCTGGGTCCTATAACTTATACATTTATTTGAGGATTTCTATTACATTTTCTGTATACCTTCACCATTTAACGTATCCTTTGATTTCATTCAGGTTCAATTTGATTTTACTGAATTTATTCTTTAAGCAGAAGCTAACCATATTAATCAATACAAAATTACAATTCATTATGTTTTTTTTTTTTTTAATAAATTTTCTGGAAACTTAAAGTTTCCATGTTTTCATTTCTTGTTCAAGTTAATGATATAGCAAGCGGCTGTTGATGAACTTATATGGATACTATATTGATGTATAGGGTGTCCAAGATTCAATGGTTTTGGCGGGTTTCGGGTATTTCTAGAGGAGTTGGAAAAAATCTGATCTCCCACTTGCGAGCCGAGGCTCGCAAGAGAAGTGGACCGGTGAAACCCGCATCCCGATAACTCGATTCGTTTTTAAGCTAAAAGGGGAAAAGTTGACAAAATCCTCATAAATAGAAAAGTTATAGACCCCTTGCTAAACTGCAAACTTTTCAAAAACCCCTCGTAGCATAAAGACGACTCCTTGACATATCGAGATGGGGTTTTCACTAGCCAATTTTTCTTGAAAATTTAGGCTCGCAAGTAGAGGCCAGATTTTTTCCAACTGCTCTAGAAGTACCAGAAACCCCCCAACCATCGAATCTTGGACACCCTGTACAAACTTTGTAATATATTTTTTTTTTTTTGTAGTTTGATCAATCTGATTGAGGGTTAACCTCTATATATTGATTTTATTTGAAGCGTTTCACCAACTTACTTGATTGTTTTATTGGTTTTATTTTAACCTATGTTAAGACTTGGTTGAGTTGTATGCCTTTTAAATAATGTCCTTTTCAGTATTTATGAAATCTGATTATTTATTTTTACAAATTCAGTGGCGCCGTAGCCATTATGTACTTGTTTAACCCATCCTTAATAATTATTCGCTGAGCAAAGTGAGCATATTATGGGCCTCTTGTTAATTCTTTAACAAAAGGGGTTACAATGCACGGAAAAATTTTGGATTTCAAATCCCGAGATTCTATCAGGACTTTAAGTGAAAGGTATCGACCTCAAATCTTACCAAAATAACTTCAACAAGGGAAAGAATTTTTAGTCGGTTAAAGATAGGTACCCAAAATAATGTTTTCAAAGAAAATTCCAATGGAGGATTGAAATGGTTGGGTATGCGGGAGGAAAACGAAGCGGCCGTAGATTCGTCAAAAATGTACCAGGTGGGTGGGTTAGCTCAGTTGGTAGAGCTTCGTACTAGCGTTGCGATGGTCGTGGGTTCAAATCCCGCACTAACTCCAACTTTTTCAATTTTCCCTTGACTTTAATTTCCACAAAAAAAAGAAAAATCTTCAAAAATAACTTCAGGCTACAGAATTATGTCATGAACCTTCCTGAAAAATTGAGTCGAGTCCTTGATAGACCAGTCTTTACTACTTGAGATTGAAGCAGCGATGCAACATGTTTTGGTAGCAGTACATCAATTTTGTGTATTTTTGGTAGTTCATAGAACCATTGTAGTATAGATTCTTGATTTGACGAAAACAGTATCTGATTATTCGTAGTCTGGTTGTCAGAGTATCTCTATTTAGCTTTCGATAACTTGATTGAACAAGGAGTTGAATGGATAAATGAATTGGGGGTATTGTTAGACTGCGACCTGCATATATCCATCGTGTCCCCCTCCTGGGTGCTTCAGTTGATAGGATTCTCATGTAAAGCACATTATACAGCTTTAAAACTTTTATGAGAGCAAAGGCTGGATGGTTCTATGGATGGAATTACTTCCAGTCCAACCGTGCAGTATCCGAAGCAGGCTATTTGTATGTTCACAGTCGCCTCGCACTCCATGAGAGGGTGTTCTGAAGTTTCCTCCGCTTTTTCACAGAACCGGCTGCTGTCCTCGTTTTCGATTTTAATTCTCTGAAGTTGCCCTGTTAACTGGCACCTATAGGGAATCCAGTGAGAATGCAATGACTGTTATTTGATATAAGATCTTCCTTGGTGAAGGGGTCCGAGAAACATCTTTGATTGCCTTAATAGTGGAAGTTGTTCCCAGAAGCTGATCCATGTGGCCCACTCTTCCTTTCTGAACGCTTCTTTATAGGTGTGTGTCTCTATGCCACAGAAGGGCTCTGGTCCTGAAAGCGGAGTTTGTGCTCCCAATTTCACTAATTGGTCCGCTTTCACATTTCCTTCGATCCCTTCGTGTCCTGGTCCACCTTGAAGGGATAGTTTGTTATTGACTGACTCAGAATATGACAATCTCTTTCTTTTTGTAGTTTCTGTCAGAATTGAAATCAACACATCTACTTATAGCGTTAATCTCCGCCTGAAGTATGTTTGGATGTTTTCCCATTACTTCGGAGAACTTGATTTCAAGCCCAAGTACTCCGGCTCCGGTCCCCTGTTTAGTTTTTGAACCATTCTTCTCTGCTTCTTATCACTACTGTGATGCGTTTCTCAAATTTATATGTTTTGATAATATTATCCCTGGGGTGCTCGAGGAGCGGAATAAGCTTGCTTCCTCCTTTTCGTGATTCTAGTTATTGCTCGTCTAGCAGCCCCCTCCACATCGATGTACACGTGCAAGATTTACAATCGTCTCGATGGCTGCTGTGGGACAAGTTTTCATTGCGCCCGTAATGCACGTGTATGCCAGGCGCTGTAATTTGTTGATAGCTGTTTAAGATCTGCTTTTCAACTTCCTTGAACTAGACTATCGATTCATATGGTAGGGTTGGTTTACCTTAAAAATCCCTGGTTTGCATCCCTAGGTTTTGCCTGCAAGGTTTCGGCACGAGGCATGAGAGCCCTTTCACCCTTGCTTGAAATTCCTTCAAGGCGTTTTCTCTATCTGAGTCGGCATTCCAGCGTTATGCAGAGATATCTAACTTCCGTCACCTGTGTGATAATAACTCCGTGTATTCAGTTGTCTCTCATTCTAGGGTATTCTCTCTTCCTAGTGAAAGGCACTACGGTGGATTTCACTAGAATGGGTTTATCTCCAGTCTCACCTCAAGGCGTTTTCTGTATCTGAGTCTGCATTCCAGCGCTATGCCGAGTTATCTGACTTCTGTCACCGATGTAATTGTAGTTCCGTGTATTCAGATGTCTTTCATTCTAGGGAGTTCTCTCTTCCTAATGAAAGGCACTACTGTGATTATCACTAAGATGGGTTTATTTCCAGTCTGTTTGACACCATTCCTCCGTTTCTTTTGAGTCCAGTCTGTATGAGATCACACAGCGTGCCCTCGAACTTTCTTCTTGCTATGATGACGATGTCATTGGCATACCGAACGCACTGCAAGCCCAGATTATTCTGTATTCCTAGTAGTTCATCCACCACTATAAGCTACACACCAGGGTCCATATTCTTGAAACAGGATAGCAGAGCTCTCAGGAGAATGAGTATTACGTCTTTGTTACTTATATTATCATTTGCATATCATTGAGAAAGACAGAACACTCGTTCTCCTGGGAATGCTGCTCCCCTGTTTCAAGAATGAGGACACGGGGATGAGCATATTCCGCCCTGGGTCCTTATTCTTGAAACTGGGGAGCAGCATTCCCAGGAGAACGAGTGTTCCGTCTTTCTCACTGACGTGCAGATGATAATATAAGTAACAAAGACGGAAAACTCGTTCTCCCGGGAACAGTGCTCCCCTGTTTCAAAAATAAGGACCCTGGGAAGTGCCTCGAGTGGTACTCACCTGAATAGACTTAGGACCTACTGAAGTCTCTGCTGTCCTCGTGGCAAGCATATTACAAATCCATCGAGATATTGTATCCGAATGGCCACGTAGGATGTGTTGTCGACTTCTTTCTCGTCTAGAGTATCATACTGTCAGTTCGAACAGAGTTGTCTGTGGACATGCCTGCTGTGTAAGCATGTCAAGGGCTACCTTTAGAGTTATTGAATTTTTGTTTGTAATCTTTAGTCTCCATTTGGACGGTGGCGTAAACGTTGTGAGACAGAAGTATAATATTATTAACTGAGTTCAGGTTTTACATTTTCATTAGTTATTTTTAGAAAGGTCACTGGTAGATGGTTGAGCTTTTCGCAGAATGTTCACTTTTCCATTCCGAATCTCTTCCGCTACATCCTCAGGCAGATTCCTGATGGCTGCCTACTGGATATAATTTCCTTCACAGGCAGTTATTGCCTTTTGTTAAAGCGGTCGTTTCTTCTTCTGTGCAAATTCAATACCGGTTGGTTTCTCAATAGCGAGTCACCTCCGGGTTGGTTTTAACTCCAAGGTAAACATTGCAACAGAACACGTTAATCCTGGAGTTAAAACCAACCCGGAGGTGACTCGCTATTGAGAAACCGACCCTATATGAGATTGATGAACAAGTCAAGGGCTAAAGTACGTTTAGGATAAACACTGACCGCGAAAACCTCAATCATTTCGAAACATTATATTACGGCCACGAGGATGGGTTTCGAACTTTTCCAAACACAAATAAAATTGGTCCAATGATAACCTAGCTATCAAGGATTTAATGATATCATGTCGGGTACCTAAAAATTTCTTAATCAAAAGTTGACTCCTGATTTTTCAACCTTTCGGAAATACCTGTAATGATTGGTGAAGCATTGAGATGTCAGTTGGTGCGCCTCATTGCATATATTTTATTTTCAATTCTCGTAATTGACACATAAATAAGGATATAGGTACTTACAGACGACGTTTAGTTTAAAGGAATCCTCTAGGCTCGAGCCCAGCAACTTGGGATTTTCGCCGATGCATTTTAAAACGGTGCCGTCGTCCTCGGGGACAGGTGCGAACGTCACGGAATTCAGGACGAGCGAGTCGTTCGTGCCTTCTTCGAGAAACTATAAAAAATAATTTGCGTCACGAAATATAGTGTCAGGGATTGACTGAAATTTGATTAAAGATATATTTTTTTTAGACAGAAATACAATACCTACTAAAAAATTTAGGACTTACTTTTCCTCGTCTGAACGGTCGTGTATCTCTAGTCCATGATATAATAGCTTTTGGTCTTGATCCAGTTACTTCACAATGAATTGTTACTTCTTCGTTGGCTACAAGTTGTCTTGGTTTGATTGGGATTACTACAGTAAGAGGCCGTACTGAAAAAAAAAATGTTATTAGAAGTGCATTATGTCGATAATAGATACGTGCTTATTTCGATGCAACTTCAAGAAGTTCCTGGTAATTGAACTTGAAGTAACGTTGATTGATTTGATGTGTTGCTGTCATATTTTACTCTTCTCGCTGCACGAAATTTCAATTATTGCAGTTGTGCATCTAAGATGTGAAATATTTTACACTGATTTCCATGAATGTATCGATGTTTCCACACAGTCGATAAATATTATTGTATCGAACCACAAACTGGGAAGACATATCGGATTTACCGCATAATTCGACGGTCATTTCCAGTTTCACACCACACATCGATAGAAGGTCCGATTTCTAATGGCTTGTTTTGTTATTTGCCGTTGAAACATCGGTTTCAGCTCCGAGTTTCAGGCTATCGGTTACGCCTCTTGTTGCATTTAACGTCTCTTTTCTCGTGCTCGAAAATAGACTTTTTCCGATATTGTTTTCGATGTTTTCCAATGGAAGGAATGTAATTGATTTTGTTTGTTTTTTCTGGTAACAGTAATACCTACTATAGAAAGTTGTTTTGATTTTTGTAATTCAACAAACATTAAATAATTTGATATTTGAGTTTACTTATAGCGTGTTAAATGATTATAATAGGAACTAAACGATCTCATCAAATAGACGAGGTTCCAGAGTGAGATTATCCACACAATTTGACAAATATATTTATTTTGTTTGAGCATTCTTTCAACTGAGTTTAGGGACACAGAAGATTTTATTTCCCCGTTCCCAAGCATTGCAGCCTCTCGCATAGATATACCTGGTTGATTTCTCGGACAATGTCAAGAGGACACAAATAATTTCAATACCGAGTATAATAGGGATATTTGCCCGTGGGCGGACAATAGCTCTCCTATAAATACAAAGGAGACTTCATGCTTATAAAAATATAATGCACGTTTGAGAATATATATTATATTATTGAAGAGCAAATCTGATTTCTCTCGAATATTTCCCTGATTTAGGAATATTGAGTTCTTGAGTTGAATATTCGTCTGAAATTATATTATATGCCCGATAGAATACTAAAGTATCACTTGATATAGGTAAGTACACTGACTAGAATGACTTGTCTATAATTTAGCCAGCTCTGAACGGCACTTCAAAATCGAAATATCTGTTCCCAAATCTAGTTAACGATAAACTCAATCATAAGCAATTCAAGAGATAATTATTATATTCCAGCATATTACGACTTTGGATCCAATGGCCTTGAATCCGGAAAACTTATAGTTTCGTTACGATATCAAATATAGTGAATGATTTGGAAATTGATGATTTTTCGCTCAGATCTTTTAAAAAAGTCTATCATCAACGTCGATTTATATCAAAAAATGCATCTGTTGCAAAAAATTGTCTGAAAAACTTTGCTGTTTGTTACCACTTCAATCTGTATGGTTAGCGAGACATAAACGCTTTAGTCCCTCCGTCCTTCTGTTAACAATTTTACAAATTACTTTGAGTGGAAGATGTTCGTTTTGTTGAACCGGTGAATCTCTGCGCAGTTTCCATTTTCTATTCCTCAGGTATCGTCGGTCCATCAAAACATTCTTCAAACAGACTATTAGGGTGTGAATACCTATCACTAAATATGTCTATGTTGACATATGGACTGTGATTGGTAGTATTAGTTCTATATGTAGGCCAATTTGTGATAAAATTGTAAAATTTTGAAAACCGAATATTCTCTGATAAAGTTTGTGAGGCTTTCGCGGCCCAGGTTTATTGATAAAGTGTTTTCATTCGGGCCTAATGGCCGTCGTAAGTTGGAATTTCTTCCTGACGTTTCGCTAGCACGCGTGACTACCATCTTCGGAGGTGCTTCCATGTCCGAATCTGGTAGCAGACTGACGAGTTCCCGACCGTAAGTTGTATTTATGTGTCATGGGGGATGGGCGGGGCTTCGCAGCACGTGGCTAATCTGAGCTTTCTCTGTACTCAATGGGATCCTTCTTCCGTTTTTGAGGATCGGGTTCCAAGTTTGGTTAGCTTTGAGTGTTTCTTCTTTCCTGTTGAAGTTCTCCGTATGTTTGTGGATTTCTATAGCTTCGCGTACAAGACGATTGTGGTATCCAGAAGTCGGTGCAAGAAGCTTGAACTCACTAAAAAGTATTCCGTGATTCCCTTCACTAAGCCCATGTTCCGCTACTGCCGATTTTTCCAATTGTTCTAGTATGCAGTTTCTTTTGTGCTCGTTGATCATTGTTCCATGGATCTTTTTGTTGCTCCTATTTATACCTGCTTTAGACCCATAGTAAGTGCACCTGGAGCACCAATGTACAACCTAGCGAAACATCTTGCATCGCTTCTTCAACCGTATGAGGTAAAAACTAGCTCTTACGTCAAGCACTTCACGCACTTTGTCCAGAAGATTAGGGATATTATTCTCCAACCTAAGGATATCCTGGTCAGCTTTGATGTCGTGTCTCTATTCACAAAAGTGCCATTGATTGAATCTCTTGACTTGATATCAAGTACCTTCCCCAATGACATAGTTGAGCTTTTCCAGACATGTCTCACTGGTAGTTACTTCCTGTGGAACGATGATTTCTACGAGCAAACGGACGGTGTAGCTATGGGAAGTTCGCTCAGCCCAGTCATAGCCAACTTCTTTATGGAGAATTTCGAGAGGGAAACTTTCGAATCTTTTGACCACAAATCAAAGGAATGGCTTCGATACGTAGATGATACCTTTGTGGTTTGGAGTCATGGGGAAGAGAGGCTTAACCAGTTCTTAAGCCACGCTACGCGGTAAGTTACAAATTCGGTCATACGAATATAAAACCGCAAAGCAGCCGGAGCACAACAGCTGTGGAGCAACCAAGCTCCCCAAAGAAAAGCGGCGCCGAACCAAGGGCAGGAACGTCTAATGACTCAATGAGTCATAAAGACGAAAGTGCCCAGGTGGAGCGCGAAAAGTGAGTGCAACTCTAATGGCTCCCTCCAAGCAACCAAAGAGAAGCAACTCACCATGCATCAAATGCATCCAAATAAATCTTCAACACTCAAAAGCTGCCACTAGTGAGCTTAGAAGAAGAATGTTTGGACAAAAAATCAACGTAGGGCTACTTCAAGAGCCCTGGGTCAATGGAGGCTCTATAAAAGGCCTAAATATCAAATCATGTAAGTTAATCTACAACATTAACCACGAAAGACCAAGAGCAGCATTGCTGCTTGCCAAAAATTTAAAAATTTTACCTATTCCAGAGTTCATCACACAAGACTTGGCAGCTGCTTTAGTAGAAATGCCAACGGAGGGGGGCTCAAGGCATATTCTCATAGCCTCAGCCTACTTTCCAGGTGATGATAACTCAGCACCGCCAGAGATCGTCCAACGACTCATTACGTGGTGCAGAGCGAGAAACAGACACTACATTATCGGGGCGGTCGCCAACGCCCATCACCAGGTAGGATGGGGAAGCACCGATACAAACGCAAGGGGTGGGTACCTTTATGAATATTTGAACTCTAACAACGTAGACATTATCAACAAAGGTAACAAACCCACTTTTATTAACGCCGTCAGACAAGAGGTCTTAGACGTGACTCTCTCTGACACATTTACATCTAACACAATAACCAAATGGCTTGTGTCAAATGAACCCTCCCTGTCGGACCATCAAGCAATAAGGTTCGACCTAGAGGCAGTTATAAACCACTCAGTACAGACAAGAATCCCAAAACTCACCAACTGGGTATCCTTTGTGGAGGGTCTGTGCCTCAGTCTAGATGAACTCCCTTCTTACATAACTACAATAGAAGAGCTAGAGGCATCATCTAACAAATGCGATAAAAGATTCCTATGAGAACAGTTGTCCCGTAAAACAGAAGGCAGTCCACAGGGATGTGCCTTGGTGGAACGGGCAGCTGAGACGTCTGAAACAAGATGCCAGAAAACTGTTCAACAAGGCAAAAACTAACGGCAACTGGGCAGACTATAGAACAGCCCTAGACAAGTACAACCGTGAATTAAGAAAATCAAAAAGGAAATCATGGAGACAATTCTGCGAGGGGATTGACGAATTAGCCCCAGCTCAACGTCTCCAAAAAGTTCTTTGAAAAAACCACTCAAACGGAATTGGTCTGCTTAAAAAGCAAAACGGAGAACACTGTACCGACCATACAGAAAGTTTAGAGGTACTACTACAAACTCACTTTCCAGGTTCGGTAATCGTTGAAGCAAAGCCCTAACGGCAGGAGCAAAAGGCTGGCTGGGAAAATCTTCACAATGAACAGAATAAAATGGGCGATCGATAGCTTCAAACCCTACAAATCTCCAGGCAAAGACGGGATTTTTCCCGCACAACTGCAAAAAGGCTACGAGCACTTAAAGGTACACCTACAAAAGCTCTTTAAGGCAAGCCTGCTCCTAGGGCACATACCGCTATCTTGGAGGGAAGCTAATGTGATATTCATACCAAAAACGGGTCGCCGACCCGAGGACGAACCAAAATCATTTCGTCTCATTAGTCTAACCTCCGTTCTCCTTAAGACAATGGAGAAAGCAATCGACTAGTACATCTGAAGCGAAACTCTATTGAGAAGACCGCTCTACTCGAAGCAATTTGCCTATCAGCCAGGCAAATCCACGATAAGTGCTTTACACTGCCTGGTTAAATGCATTGAAAAGACAATCGAGTGCAAGGAGATCGCTCTCACAGCTTTCATCGACATAGAGGGTGCCTTTGACAACACCTCACATCAATCAATCGCCAGAGCATTACAAGAATGGGATGTTGAAGTTCCAATTGTAAAATGGATAGAGTCGATGCTGAAGCACCGTCACGTTACGGCTGAAATAAACGGAGCATCAGCTACCGCTACCACGGTCAGAGGGTGTCCTCAAGGGGGTGTTCTTTCTCCGCTACTATGGACACTGGTGGTAGACAACATTCTTACCAGACTGAGTAGTGCTGGATACCAGGTCATAGGTTACGCAGATGACCTAGCCATCGTAATT